GAGATGCAATTTTTTTTATCTCAGCTGGCATTCTCCAGCTATGGCTTCCCCACTGACCCTCTTTGGTAGTCATAGCTTCTCTCAATTATTCTCTCGATTTCTCCACCTAAAAACCGAAACCTTCCTCTCTACTTCAATGGTGAACTCCGATGTGAATCCGACCAGAATCTCTTCAATTTCTGGAGATTTCTTCTGACGAGTCTGAGGAATCCCCTGCCTTTGCGAGATCCCCATTCGTCCAAGAGCAAAAACGTCCTCTCGACCAGACGCTTTCAATTCCTACGCCCAAAACATGAGTCGTGTCTATTCCTAGACGAAACATCAAATGTAATTTCCGGTGATTTCCTCCTTTGCCATTAGCTTTCAAAATTACTCAGCTACATCTGTAAGCTCTCGATTGTCAATTCCGGCAACATGATACATAATTTTGTTTCAGTTTTGCTTGATTTCATTAATTCGGTTTAATGTTGGTTTTGGGGTGGTTTGATGTCGGTTTAGGTCGTAAACCGAGTAAATCCAAATTTATGGAGAAATAGATGAGAACTATCGATTCGAGGAGATATAGGTTGACAAGTATTTTCTCGGGGATATTTAGATCGTGGTCATAGATTGGGCTCTATCTGTTATGATGTCATAGTTCTCGTGGGGAAATAGACCGTTTTTCCAATCGATAGTTTTCATCTATTTCTCCATAAAATAATAGTTTTCACCTAATTTACCCACAGATTTTGGTTTACAATTTACCAAACAATTTTTAACCACCTAAATACAATACTGAACCAAACTTAAACCAATTACAACAACATAACCGGATTTAAACCCAAACCGAACCAATTTCTTAAAGTTCACAAACCAAACAATTACTCACGCATCACCACCACTTACGTCAATGGCGGATCTGCCTTTCATCTCCTCCTCTTCCTCCACCTCCTCACCACCACCATGTGACCTCTCCATCTCCAGGTTCATCAACCAATCACAAACTCGATGTATCTCACTCATTCACTCCACCTCAACGCTCTATTCTCTTCCCAATCTCTTTCCACATGCCTCGATACAACCTTAAAATCCCTAATTTCAAACACAACTTTATCTCTCCAATGGAGACAGAGTCAAATTCCGGCGACCCCTCTGCAACTCTGGTGAAACCGAGCCGCAACCTCCACTGGCGAACCGAAAGCTATCGAACCTTGTAATCCTTTGTGCCTCTCTCGATCGCGATTTCAAGAGATGCAAATTTTTTTTATCTCAGCTGGCATTCTCCAGCTATGGCTTCCCCACTGACCCTCTTTGGTAGTCATAGCTTCTCTCAATTATTCTCTCGATTTCTCCACCTAAAAACCGAAACCTTCCTCTCTACTTCAATGGTGAACTCCGATGTGAATCCGACCAGAATCTCTTCAATTTCCGGAGATTTCTTCTGACGAGTCTGAGGAATCCCCTGCCTTTGCGAGATCCCCATTCGTCCAAGAGCAAAAACGTCCTCTCGACCAGACGCTTTCAATTCCTACGCCCAAAACATGAGTCGTGTCTATTCCTAGACGAAACGTCAGATGTAATTTCCGGTGATTTCCTCCTTTGCCATTAGCTTTCAAAATTACTCAGCTACATCTGTAAGCTCTCGATTGTCAATTCCGGCAACATGATACATAATTTTGTTTCAGTTTTGCTTGATTTCATTAATTCGGTTTAATGTTGGTTTTGGGGTGGTTTGATGTCGGTTTAGGTCGTAAACCGAGTAAATCCAAATTTATGGAGAAATAGATGAGAACTATCGATTCGAGGAGATATAGGTTGACAAGTATTTTCTCGGGGATATTTAGATCGTGGTCATAGATTGGGCTCTATCTGTTATGATGTCATAGTTCTCGTGGGAAAATAGACCGTTTTTCCGGAGAACTAACATTGAATATGCCTCATACAGAATTATCTTTGCCATTTTTCGGATATCTTTGCCATTTAACAACTAGACTCTAAAAGTTATTTATTCAGACTAAAAGTTTTTAATGTTCGCTGAGTACGTTAAATCCTTATATTTATTGATTTATTCTCACGGTAAACAAATATATAGTCATCGATCATGTCACATGATTCATGTGTATTAACTAGTAACGAATAACATCATTCTCGGATGAGCTAGTTACATACTTCCATGGTATACATTTATGGTTTGATCAAAAAACAATAAAATAAGTTTTTAAGTTTCACGTTTCTATGAGATTGATATGTATTATCAAATGACGATACTAGAAAGATAAAAAAATAGGACGTACGTATAATCTTGTTTCTCATTAACCATGCATTAGTATATTTCTGCGGGTATACATTATTTTTTCTTTTGTTTATTAGAATTACATATTCCCTCGATTATATATACATTTGTTGCAAAAAGAAAAAAGAGAAAATTAAAGTTCCCAAAAACTATCCTTACATATGAGGACAAATGAAAATTATTGTCCACCAAGAACAATAATGGATGGATCAGATGATGAGTGAGGTAATTTATTAAAAGGTGAGATAGTAGAAATTGGCGTAGATTTTTTTCCGATTTGGCATAATTGCGCTAATTGTAGACAATGATGCACGTTGGCATCATTATAGTTTTATTTCCTTTCGGTGCAATTTACCCTATTATATACCCAACTATCGATTATATGCTCACGACACGAGTTAATATGTACATATACTCAATTCATTTACCTGCCATATATAAGAATGATTATAAACAACAAATAAATCCAGAAGGAAAACAAGTTCTAATAAAATGCTATACTTAATTACCATTCATTTCACTTAAATACACGGACGTGCTATATCTTCAACTAAAGTGGTAGATCGATGTTCTCTTTAACGGCAATTAGTTATGATCTTACCCGTTTAATAATGCTAAACCTTATTGAAAGTTAACCTAACTATAAGAACTTATTGTCACAAAATATTCAAAATAAATGATTCACGAGTCAGCAAGCATTTCATCCTATAACCTCTCACCTCTAAAAACTGAAATTTTCAACACCTAAGTTTGATTTTACTATTAGGCCAACAACTTTCGGTCATCACCTTGTGCTTTTATCATTTACGGACCAGAAAATCCAAATTTGTTTATTTTCTTAAATACAAAGTAAGAAACTATACGTATGTATAAACTAGACTAGAACTAAATCTAATCATCTAAACTTATGTATTACTAAATGCAAAGCACCCCCACCCTTATTTTATCATCCAAACATATGTACTATATTTATACAAAATGGCACAACCGTGAGCAACTAAAGCAATGACTAAATAAAACAATATGGACCAAACTCAAATCCATTGAATTTGAATTATATATAACTTAGTTAATATATAACTAATACAACCCCCAAATCGGCTAGCCAGTTAATATATACATCTTCTTCATTAAACAATAAGACAGTCCCAACCAGAATATATAAATTATACTTTTCAGACAACTAAAATGTTATGTATCTTCGAATACTTTTATAATTGTATATACGTTATTGCTCATCACAAAAAAAAAAAGTTAAGTTTATCTACCAAACATTATAATGACCAGAAGATGACAATCCGGAGAGAAAAAAAACCGCTTTTGCTTTTCCCCCGAATCAAAAACACCTTCGCTCGAATAATAAAATTATCAAATTCTCTTTCTCCTTAGTGGAAGCCACAACACAATTTATTTATCAACAACATTAAACATAAACAACGCAAAATATAGCCTAACAAAAAAAAAAAAGCAACGCAAAATATAAATGTCAAAATATTATTCGCCCATGACCAAACTCATATATCTGTACCACATTTGCTGACTCGGAGTTTGTTTTAAGTAACACAAATATTATAACATTGCTTTTGTAATCATTTGTTCTTTAATTTCATTATACAACTTTCATGTACTAAAAACAGGACATAACATGGACCAACGCCATGTGCTCTCGACGAGACCAAAATAGGCCACTCGTGCAGAGAACATGTCCCACCAATCCCACACGCTTCTGGCCTCCAAACTCACACGTGTAAGCATAAATAAAAGATCGTCAGCGTTGGTCAAAGTCCTCCCATCAACAACACATCTAACGGTTACGACTTGACCCGAAAACCACAGACTCAATGAAACGTTCTTTGATTTTTGACCCATGACCAGAATTTTAGGTGAATCTTTCAATCTTTAATTACTGACTTGTCATCAACATTAACACATTTAATACAACACTTGGGAATACTATTATTCAAAAAAATTAATTAGGTTAAAAACCAGTGACGCAAGCGTGCGTTTGACTCTCTCTCTCTTTAAACCCACCTCCACTCACTTTCTCTCTTCACCTTTCACTTAGCAATTAGCATCATCTTCCTTCCCCCAAACACTTTCCCGCATTTTCTCGCCCAGATTTTCTCTGACTCTTTTGTTTTTTTTTTCTCTGATGGGGAGAGATGAAACTGAGACGTACATTACAGTGCCAAGTTTCTTCAAATGTCCTATATCTCTAGACGTTATGAGATCTCCGGTTAGTCTCTGCACCGGCGTTACTTATGATCGAGCCAGTATTCAGAGATGGCTCGATGGTGGTAACAACACTTGTCCCGCTACTATGCAACTTCTCAAAACTAAGGATTTTGTTCCTAACCTCACTCTTCAACGCCTTATCAAAATCTGGTCTGATTCCATCGGCCGTTACAACACCGCTGGTTCTCCGCCACCGTCTGGTAGAGAAGTTCCGACGGTTGAAGAAGTGAATGTGTTGCTGAAGAGATTGATGAGTCTGGAGAAAAACGATGAGACTCGGATTGAGATATTGTCCAGGATCGTTCGATTCGTGAAGGATTCGGATTCGAACAGAGAGTTTCTCTCGGCGATGAAGGAGTTCGTACCAATGCTCGTTGATATTATACGCACGAAGACGAAGAAGATCGAGTTAGTTCTAATGGCGATTAGGATTTTGGATACGGTTAAAGGAGATCGTGAACGGTTATCGAATCTGATGTTGGCGAATGACGACGGAGATTGTTTAACGGCGATTCTCTTAGCGATTCAACGCGGGAATCTGGAATCGAAGATTGAATCCGTTAGGGTTTTGGATTGGATCTCATTCGACGCTAAATCGAAGCTCTTAATCGCAGAACGCGACGGGATTATAACAGAGATGATCAAATCAATCAGTATCACTGAGTCAGATCCGAGTTTGATCGAAGCGAGTTTATCGTTTCTAATCACAATCTCGAAATCGAAACGAGTGAGATCGAAACTAATCGCTGCGAAAACAATCACGAAGATCAAAGACATTCTTATGACGGAGACGTTAACAAACGTCGCCGTCACGGAGAAGTCTCTGAAGCTGTTAGAGACTCTGTCGTCGAAACGAGAAGGAAGATTGGAGATTTGTGGAGAAGATAATGGAAGATGTGTGGAAGGAGTGGTGAAGAAGTTGTTGAAAGTATCTACGACGGCGACGGAACATGCCGTGACGATTCTGTGGTGTTTGTGTTATGTATTCAGGGAAGATAAGACGGCGGAGGAGACGGTGGAGAGAAGTAACGGAGTGACGAAGCTTTTAGTGGTGATACAGAGCAACTGCTCGGCGATGGTGAGACAAATGGCGAAAGATTTGATTAAAGTGTTGAAGATTAATTCATCTGCTTTGTCTGCTTACGAGACCAAGACTACTCATATTATGCCTTTTTGATTATTTTTTATCTTAAATAAAATGATACAAGTAATTCTTATCATCAAACTATTTTGAACCTAGTACATGTTGTAAATCATAAGAGAAATTTTGTCAATTTTACTAATATTCAAAATTATAATTCTCGTTTTTTTTACCTTGTGATAATTGAGAATAATACGATTTTAACTCATCAACTATTTGAGACATTTTATTGTATGATTTAAGGCCATTTATCTTTCTTTGTTTCAAATTTGTAGCGTATGTGTTCCAAAACACAATTTTGAAACAGTAAAGAAGGTTTAAAGATGGAAATGTACTTAAAATATTTGCAATTCGAATCATTCTTTCTTAGTTTATAAAATATTTGAATAAAACAAAACCAATAGATTATAGAATCGTTTTGTAAGTTTGTAATAAGATGAGATGGTAGGGAAAGGAATCGAGTGACTATTATCTGATTAGTTTGATTTGGTAGTTAAGGCTATAAATAAAACTCTATAGTGTGACTAGATACTTTTGGTACGAAAGAATTCAAATGACAGTTTCGTGTAGTAGATTAAGTTAAAGTATGGTTCACTGAATCTGACTAAAAGTTGTATTAATATGAGTTAAATGGATGGTTATACAATTTTGCTTATTACTAAACCAAAATAAAGGAATAAGGTTCCTTCGATTGAAGTGACAAACGAAAAATCGTAAGGTCTTGTAAACTAGTACCTTTAAATAAATTTACTTTTAATTTCTTGCTTGTTTGAGGAGGTTGCAACATTTCATGTTCATGCCTCTCTCACACCCACCCGTTTTTTTATACATTCTATCCTTTGTTCGAATTTTGATTTGAATGGTACTTGCTTCAACATTTGATTTGCAACTTATTCTGTTTTAGTTATAAGATAAAGCATACTACATACTTTGTAAAGACACGAAAAAGATTATCCTTTTGAATAGTATAGGAATCTATATATACACGTAAGTTTTCCAGATTGAATGAATATTTTATGATACTTTATGCGATATAATAAAATGATAGGAGTTTTATTAGTCGTCTATTACACCATATATCGTATTCGTTTGAGGATAACATTTATAATAGACGAATACAAATACGGTATACTGAAATTTACCATATAGGACGATTGTTGTCTATAACGGATTTAACTATCTATTTTTTTTTTTTTTTTTTTTTTGTAAACCACGGATTTATCTATAAATAAACAACTTACCACATAGGACGTACACATAATCTAGACGGAAAACCATATTGAAATTTACAAGAACATTGCACATAGATCAATTATAACTTTGATTGATTAAAACTTTGAAGATTAATTCATCTGTTTAGATTGATTAAAACTTTGAAGATTAATTCATCTGTTTCTGCTTTGGCTATTTACCAAAAGAGTGGAAGACCATTTATACTCTCATAGGCATGTTTCTATCTCTAAGCAACATAGACATTTGCCATCGAAGCAAAAATCATTTTCAAAAAATTTAGTAAAGAAAAAGAGTCCATTTTTAGAATTTTTTTTTAGTAAGAGAGTTTAATTTTTTTTTATTGGTTTTGTTTTACCAAGGATTGAGACGACACTCATATCACGACATTTTGGTTTTTCTTTTAATATATATGAAAATTAAAAATAGAAAATTTGATATGTAGCTATATGAATTGCATGTAAGATTATTCAGGAAAATGATTTTTCAATCTTTTATTTTTGGATTAGGAAAACATAGTTCATTTCTTTTAGAAATACACATACAAATTAGTATATGTAAATATATATATATATATATATATATATATATGTGAAAGGTGAGAACTTTTGTGTTTGTTTGTTTTATGCAAATTTTAACTAGTATATCTTCTTCCTTCCTTCTTTTAATCTCTTAGAGAAAGCCCCATTGAGGGTTAAGCAAGTCAAATCTCATGTGAAAGGTGAGATTTTTTATTGACTTAGTTTCATATGCAATGTTTTCTCTAATTTTTTTGTAAGAACTTTTTTCTCTTCTTTTTTTTAAAATCTTTTAGACAAAGTCTTCCTCGTGAAAATAGAAGTTGGGTTGAGGCATGTGAAATATGAGATTTTTTTTCGTTTGTTAGCACTAGCGGACTCACGTGAGAAGAAGGGGTGTTACTTGAACCACCTTAAATTATATAATTAAAATTTTTCAAGCTTAGATCAATAAGATTATTTTGCTAATTTGGTTAAAGTTTATAATATTGACCCCCTTAACCTGAGTTCAACTTCATCTAACTCCTATTTTTATTCATTTTTTTTTTTTCATTTTTAATAAAAAATTAATTTTACTTTGATAATTTTCAATATATTGACCTGGTTAAAATATTTTCTGGATCCTTTACTGTTTGTTAGTTTCAAATGCTAACTTTTTCTCTATTTTTTTGTACGAAGTTTTCTCTCTTCTTTTTTAATTTTTAGATAAGCTATTCCTCGTGAAAAAGGAAGTTGGATTGAGGTTTAAGAAAATTAAATCGCAAGTGAAATGTGATGATTTTTTTGTTTGTTAGTTTCATATTTTTCTCTATTTTTTTTTAGGAACAATGCCAATTTATTTTGAAATGTTTGCATTTATAATCGGACAAACTAAACAAATTATTGATAGACCAATAAACAAATTATTAATAGACTAGTTGTTAATTTGTTTGTTTACATGCTCAATCTCTGATTTGGTTTTTCGTATTTTGACTACGACAAAACGGCGGAGTCTACACTCGATCTCGGTTACAGCACTCGTGGTGTTTGGCGGCGGTGGTACAACATTGTGAAGAGTGCCAATGTACGTCGCAGCCCCCCATACGAACCTCGAAATGGCGCCAAACCATGATTGCTAAGTTTTCGCCGCCTCCTCTGCATTACCCGACGACAATGGCGGGGAGGTTCCTAAACGACCATGCCAGAGTCATCTTCTACGACAACCCGCAAGAACTCGAATAAGCTAACTCGTTTCAATTTGAACCACAACATTTTTGGGATTTTATACACTTTGGTTCAATCCGGTTAAGGTTAACACTATAGTATCTACGTTTTATCATATTGTGTAATCAAAAGACAAAAATTACTATTTGTATCTTTGGAATCATTCTCTGAGTTTTGGACTTGTTTCTTTGGAATCATTCTATGAGTTTTCAACTATTTCGCTATTTATGGTAAATATAAGACAACAAAATTACATAAACATAAAATTTTCTTATCAAATAGTATATATGATTAGTAAAACTATACATAATCTTGAATAAGTTACATACGTGTTTTTGCACCAAAAAAAAAAAAAAGTTACGTACGTGTAAACCTAAATTTGAACACTTAATTTGTGTAAAGGTTTTCTTAATCTTATTGATACGGCCAATGTGGCTTTTATACATAATACACACGTTTGACCTAATAGCTTTGTACAACAATAACTTATGGGCCAAGTAATTACATATTGAGATCCATCTAACTCAATAGAAGCCCATAACTTCCTCAATAGTAATCACGTTACTAGTGGGTTATTTTACAAATTTGTTTCAGTAGTTATAAAATAAATAGAAACTCACAAATTCTTTTCTTATATAGGCTTGCTAAAATTCGGAAAGTAAAATGAAAATAGACACTGGTTTGTGACATTTTTAGATGATTTCGTGAGCTTAGTAAATAAATAATTGAGGAACATTAAAGATTCCTTCGAAGTTCGAATAAGGGATCAAGTGCTTCCTAGAGGACTATCGGGCCAGTGAAAAAGATGATTTACATGGATAGATGACCATGTTACTACAAATTTCCTGTTTTACATGGATAGATCTATATTAATTTACCATAATCAAAACAAGCAATTCTTTGGAAAACCTTTTATTAAATTTAAAAAAAAAAACAATTCTTTGAAAGAAAAATAAAGAAACTCAAATACATCTATAGTGGAAGCAAAAAAAAAGTCTTAAGGAGTTGTTCTAGTAGTAGATTTTTTTAATGGCTGAGATATTAAACTTGAAAATAAGTGACTTTTCTATGAGCACAAAGACATTTAAATAAATCTATATATATAATAGGAGAGTTTTCTCTCCTCTTAGGGTGTCCACATCAGTGACACATCAGCATACACGTCATCATAAATTTTTAATATGTACAAAATGTCACTAAAAAGATTCGAACCCATTAGCTTATGCATTTAGTTTATAACAAAATTACCACTTATTTTATAATTTTTTCATTGGTCAAAACATTAAAACATTAATGACAAAACATAACAAAATATAAACTATATATATTACCTTATACAAGTTCCACATAATTTATTTTTTTAAACAAGAAACATTAAAAAAAAATTAATTCATATATAACTTTTATATCATCGTCTTTTAATAAAAGAAAATATTTTTTCATAAACAATAACAGAATTTAATATAAATAAAAAGTAATATAATACAACACACAAAACTATGTGATAAAAAATAAGATAAATATACAAGTACACATTTCAATTTTACACAAAATAAGAAATGATTTACTTTTAAAGAAAAATAAATTTTTAAATTTTTTTAAAAATAGTGTTAAAGTCGAAAATTCTGTTACCGATAAAAATATTTAAAAATATGAAAAGATAATGGTTAAATATAAAGTAAGATAATTTCATTTTACTTAGAATAAGTAGTAATTTATTTTTAAAATAGAATATTTATTTATAATTTCTAAATATATTTGTTAGTAGTAAAGTACAAAATTTATGTTACCAATTAAAAATTTAGAAAAATTCATTGTATATTAGTAAAATTCAGAAGCGTTGGAGATTAGAAGAAAAAATGTATTCATTGGAAGTTTGCTGTTCTTTTTGGTGTTAATCTTCACTTTTGATGTTCTTTTCTACATGATTCATCTCCAAACTCGAGTACTTCAAGATTAACAAGATTACCATACTAGAAACAGCTGCAACAAAATAAAAATCAAAATAAGCAAAAATCTAAAATGAAGAGTTGTTAAAATAAAAATATGCATATAGATATCAGAAATGGATGATAATATCCATAGATTTCCAACAACATTTGGTATATTAAAAATGTGAAAGAAGAAATAGTCAATGTGGTTGAAAAAAAAAAATTAGGTGCTATGAAAACACACAATGAAAATAATTAAAAAGATAAAGTATCTGATATATATATAAGAGAATAAATCACAATAAATTTAATTTTATAATTAATTACAACAATCGAGATAACATAGAAATTTAAAAAAAAAAATCAAATCAATGATATTAGTCACGATGAAAGTAAAAAACAACAATAATATCTAATAATATGAATTTAAGCACAATTACAATTTAGAAACAATTAGAAAAATACATGTATCATCAACCAGTCTCATCATCAACCACATAAATAAAAACATTAAAAAAATCTTAAATTGATAATTATTTTTTACACAAACTCATATACTATTTTCTAATATATAAACCCGCGCATCGCGCGGGCCTATTTCTAGTTTAATAAATAAGTGAGTTTGTTTACATGCTTAAACTCTTGTATGTTAATGATTGAAAACATTAATACATATATAACTGTGTGCCGTTGATAATGTTGATTCCTAAGATCTTTCCTAGTAATTTTTTAAGACATTAAGACAAGAATGGGAGTTTCCTAATTGAGCATGTGCTGTAACAGTTTGGTTGGAGACACAAAAAGTCAACATTTCTGAAAGTCAAACTAATCGTTCTGATGACTTTTTTTTTTCTTCTTTTTTGTTGTTTTGGTCAATTTTCTCAGTCGCCAAACATTCAATTCACAAAAACCAAACAGAGAACAAACACAAACAAAATTCGATTCTGAGAAGAAACTCCCAAATTTTAATGGATCCGTCGGAGTATTTTGCCGGCGGCAATCCTTCTGACCAACAGAACCAGAAGCGGCAGCTTCAGATCTGTGGTCCTCGTCCTTCACCTCTTAGTGTCCACAAAGACTCTCACAAAATCAAGAAACCTCCAAAACACCCTGCGCCGCCGCCAAATCGTGACCAACCTCCGCCGTATATTCCTAGAGAGCCGGTGGTTATCTACGCCGTATCCCCCAAGGTTGTACACGCCACCGCGTCGGAGTTCATGAACGTCGTCCAGCGACTCACAGGGATCTCCTCTGGAGTTTTCCTCGAATCTGGCGGCGGTGGAGATGTTTCACCGGCGGCGAGGCTAGCGTCGACGGAGAATGCTAGTCCAAGAGGAGGAAAAGAACCGGCTGCGAGAAATGAGACGGTAGAAATCACTATGGAAGAAGCAGCTGAATTTGGTGGTTATGCTCCGGGAATACTCTCGCCATCTCCGGCGATGTTAGCAACAGCTTCTGCCGGGATATTCTCTCCGATGTATCATCAAGGTGGGATGTTTTCGCCGGCTATACCACCGGGATTATTCTCGCCGGCGGGATTAATGTATAGTCCTGGTTTTGCTAGTTTGGTCGCTTCTCCAACATTTGCTGATGTCTTTAGAAATATTTGGGATCCTTAGAGAAAAAGTTTAGATTTTTCATTTTGCTCTGTAATTTTTTTGTATTATGTATTTTGACATATCCAAATATCCAATGTAGCCCAAAGGGTTTAAAATGAGCTTCATGTATAAAAATTAACTTTCAAAAATTTCAGAAAGATTCCTAGAAAGTAAAACTTGTCTGCAAACTATATATACAGGAGTTATAAGATTCTCCTGACCTAAGATACTCTAATAAGTTTGTGTTTTGAGAAGATCCTTCATGTAGTAGTTGTAACAATAGAGTTCCAAGTTCCTCCTATCAATGTACCGACTCTCTCTCCTTTGATTGCTTTTGCGATGTTTCCAGGTTCCGATAGATTGAATACCACAACTGCAAAATAAGCATTCTTGTTGTATTTTAGATGATCATGGGGTTCGAGGTTTGAGAGAGTGTTTTAGAAAACAAACCTGGGATGTTATTTTCTTGGCACAAAGTGATAGCAGTCATATCCATTACAGAGAGGTCCTTTGAGGTTACTTCTTGGTAAGTTAGTGAGTCGAGAAGGCGAGCGTTTGGGTTTCTTTTAGGATCATCGTCGAACACTCCATCAACATTTGTTGCTTTCAGCACTACTTCTGCATTAACTGTGTCCAATGCGAAAAGGTTTTTTTTTTAATGATGTGAATGATAAATGAATCATTAGAGCAAACTTAAAACGGAAATCACCTCTTACTTACTTTCAGCACATCGAAGAGCTGCTGCAGTATCGGTGGTGAAAAATGGATTGCCTGTTCCAGCTGCAAATATAACAACCCTTCCTTTTTCTAGATGCCTAATTGCTCGTCTTCTTATGTAAGGCTCTGCTACTTCTGACATGCGGAAAGCGGTTTGAACACGGGTTGGGATGCCAATACTCTCCATTGTTGCTTGAAGAAATATTGCATTCATCACAGTTGCCAGCATCCTATCAAATTTCAGATAAACCAATGTAACCAAAAACCTCCAATAGGGGAAAATTCTAGATCTTCTCCAAGTAAGAAGAACAAGATCATTTGACACGAAAGGCAAGAACAAGATCATTTGACACAAAGGCGTAAAAGTTCAGAAAAACAGAGTTGAGTGGCACCAGAGTCAAGAGTGCATATGATTACCCAATATAATCAGCAGAGGAGCGATCAAGGCCACTGCACCCAGCCCAGGTAGATCCACGAAAGATATTTCCTCCTCCAACAACAATTGCAACCTATTGTAAAGGCGTAAGAAGATCAAGACAGAGCACAGCACACACAACATTTCAATGAGTATTCTCAATGACCCAGACCCATCATCCGTTGCACGTATAGCATGTTTAGAGCATAATAAATTTCTAATCTTAGCTTGTGTAATCCCATAAATCTCCACCCCTTAACTTAAGCTCCCGTTTCTTGTAAGTTTGAGTTAATTGACTTTCAGCCTATTTGGTTACTTCTACACAAGCAATCATCAAATACTTCACGTACTAAGAAATTGCACTTATCATACTTTGTCAATCAACCCGTCTAGGAAAGACTCAAAGCTTAATGCCTGATAACTAAGAAGTGTTGAATCCATGGTCACAGTAAACACAATTACAACTAGAACAAAAATGTTTGGATGAAGCGTTTCGAGAATAACCTCAATGCCAAGTCGAGTCACTGCTGCAACTTCCCTTGCAATCGCCATAGTAACCTAATAAATGGGAAACTGGATGAGACTTCTGAAGAAGGAAACAGTAAACAAAAAAAGCAGAAACAAGGAGGTGTTTTTATTTTTTTGGCATCACAAAAACCTTTGGATCGATATTTTGTTCCTCGTCTCCAGCAAGAGCTTCTCCACTGACTTTGAGTAAAACCCTTCTCCATTTAAGCGGTGGTTTGGATGCTCCATCAAAGGAAGGCATTCGTGGAAAAGATGTCTGCCCGTTTAAGCTACTGAAAATTACAGATGATAGCAACAGAGTTTTAACAAAAGCAGCCAAAGTTCCAAACTTCATAAATGGGTTAAGATTTACCTCAACCAAAACAATAAAAAATCAAATTTGCAATATATTTCAATAAAGTCTTAAACCCTAAACCCAAAAGTGTTTTCATTGACGAATTTCCACAAACACCTGGTGTGCATACTGTTATAAATTGAAGATCAATAATACCTCCCGTTCCCGCTTCCGTTCATGGAATCTGGAGATGAACCATTGTCTGAAGAAGAGCAGCTGATAAGTACACGCCTGCTGCAATTCTGGTTGGAGAAGAAAGTACGATTGCGAGGTGTGAGAGGGACGAAGGAGGTTCGGGAAATAGAAGAAGAAGTTGAGATTGGCGAGCAAGAGGTGAGAGGCAACGGAATTGCCATTGCCGGAGAGATCTAAGAAGAGATGATTTACTGATATATTCAGTAGAGAATCGTCGCCGGCGAATACGGCGTTTGAGTTTGCGAAGATAAGGTCTGGTTCCAATGTAATTTTACTAATGAATCTTGGCCGTTTTTAGTTCGACACTGTTTTGATATTTTAATTTTTGACAATACCCCAAATAATTCACTATATTTAATGTTATCTTGTCATACAAAAACGAATAAGTTTCACTAAATTCTAAATATATTTCTAAGATTTTGATACATATCATAATGTCTTTAAGATTTTAACATATGTTATATATATACACTTCTAAGAAAATGTATTATTTAATCAAATTTAATTGAACACCAATTTAGTGCACTACATTTAATTTAACAAGTAGCTACAAATATATATATATATTTTCTTATATTTTAATAATCACACTCTTTTATTTCTTATTGATTAATGGGTTTGAAAGAAGGGTCAATTAAATCTAAATACACAGATGACTGAAAAATTAAGAATATATACATGTTTTTTTGTATAATTAGTTCTCTCTCATCAATTGTATAAGTTGGACAAAAATACCCCTCCGCATGTAACAAATTGTTTACCGTTATAACAAAATAGATATCGACGAGACATAAATTTCAGATAATAGTTTCGGTCAAATTTTCGATTATGACTCAATTTTCGATAAATCATATTATATCGCGATAAGTTTATAAGTTACATGGTAAACTAATATTTATCGTGTTAAAATATTTATTATATGATTATATCAGCTAACTTATGTATTAACCGGTTTATTTACTTTAGTAATTTAATTATTTCCGTTAACTTATACATTAGCGTATTCATTTATCATGATAATATTGGGATTTAACCCGCGGTACACCGCGGGGTCATATTTTATTTCTTTAATTAACAATGTTTAAATTTTTTTAAAAAATAGTATTCAAATTAGATGATATAAATTTTTGATGTTTTTAAGTTTGACCCGTAGAACATATATAATTCAGTAACATAGTATTGTAATTACACATTTAGAAGTGTCAAAAGAGATTAAAAGATTCAATATCCGTTGTTGCACTTCTTTCTCTGTTTGTATAACCCGTCAAAATAAAAATTAGAATTTAATATTGTCATTTTCTCTTTACAAATTTATTTTATGATGTGTTAGTATTACGATTCTCAATTTTTTTTTATATGCAAACAACATCAAATGCATGGAGAAGAAGGTATGATACATTTCTGCTTTATATTTAAATATTCAATATATTGATAAAAACTGAAATCAAATTTAAAAAAAAAAACTAAAAATTGAAACTCTAACTTTAATCCGACGACTACTTCTATTGTTGGGGGCATCTGTAAGCCTAGAAAAAAACAAAAATGATCCAAATCAGTACCTTCCATACAATCGAGAAAGGAGTCTCTAAACTGAAAGAGAGGATTCCAATTCAAGAACAATCACCTATTATGGTCACGATCACGGCATGGGCCATAGTCATCATCATCTCTTCTACCACGTTCTTTTCTTTC